TCGACATATCCCTTTCCCACTAAAGGACATTCTCTCTCACCCCATGAACTCTGGGCCTACTCCTTTATCCACCCTCATCAACACAACCTTCCATCTACTCTCTAACATCAATCCCTCCTTCTCTACACCCTGCTGGATGTGTCTGTCACTGGCTTGAACTCTCATCATAGCTACTTCAATCCCTACCTATTGGACCACTAACTTAACTCTTACCTATACCAGACCTCAACGCACCCTATATAACATCTCTCTCTTTAATACGGAAAACACTACTTGTTTAACAAATACCTCTCAAACCACTACCTCAACTACCCCTACACCTTACTCCTGTGCACAATCTATAAATTTACCCCCTCCCTTAACCTGCCCTCTGTGGGAGAGTACCTATAGATGCCGCAGCAAACTTCTGGTTCCGGGTGCGTGACCACTGTGACCTCTGAATGTCCCTCTCAGGTATGTTGGCAGTTGCTGGGGAAATGGAACCAACTATGGTCGAGGGTAGTCTGGGAAATGGGGCAAGTTTATAATAGTCTAGGAAATGGGGCAAGTTAATATTAATAGCTAGGGCAACGGGGCAAAGTTGATTAATAAGTACCTTGGTAACGGGGCATTATTGATTAATTATGGTTTTATGTAATTCACTTATGTTTTAGTAACTGCACTTAGCAACAATGATTGATTGTATAACTTTGAAGGAAATAAATGGGTTGGAACGGTGACCGAAAGGCGCCGCTGGCTGGCCATTCACCTGCCTGTTGTGTTGGTGTCTTATTTTCCTTTCCACAGCCCTCCACTGGGTATTTTTCTCCTCTGTGGGACTACAGCCTACACCTGTGTCCCCCAGGACCTGTCACACTCGCTCTGCCTTTATGTCTTCCTAACCCCCAATCTTTCTATCAGAACAGGGGGAGAACTCAAACCCTCTCTTGGTCTTCTCAGGTCTCGCCACAAAAGGGAAGCCCTTGTTCCCCTCTTAGTGGGTACGGGAGTCCTCACTGCAGTAGGAACAGGCATAGGAGGCATTTCCTCCTCTGTTCATTTCTACCACAAATTGTCTGTTGAATTTTCAGAAGGTATCTCCATTATTAGCAATTCCCTTGAATCCCTTCAAAGGCAGGTGGACTCCTTAGCAGCGGTAGCCCTATAGAACAGGTGCGCTTTAGATCTCTTGACAGCAGAAAAAGGGGGTACCTGTGTCTTTCTTGGGGAAGAATGCTGCTACTTTGTTAATGAATCAGGAATTGTCAAAGATCACATTAAATCCCTTCCTCGACAGGATTGACCAAAGAGACGTAACAAGCTAGAAGTGGGGTATGCCATTTTTGGCTCACTTGCCCCATGACTCCTCCCATTCTTAGGCCCACTGGTATCTATTTTACTTTTACTCTTTGGCACCTGTCTCATGTGCTGTTTCACCAGTTTCTTACAGAACAGAATGCAGGCGTTCGCCAACCAGACGGTGGGAGAAATCTATCTGGCCTTGAATGCTGAACAGGGACATCAATATCACCAGAAGCTTTGAGACCCCAGGTAAATGCCTCTGATAACACCC